TAGTTTAGTTTAGTTTAGTTTAGTTTAGTTTAGTTTAGTTTAGTTTAGTTTAGTGAAAAGTGAAAAAAAGTCCAAAAAATATATAGTGCCTTGCACTCCCAAATCAATCGTAGGCGAGTTGGATGAAATTACAGTACAAACTGGGAGGCACAATTTCTCATTTTCATATTTAGTTTAACATGAACTAAAACTAAAACTGAAATAAATGTATAGACATATAAAAAAAACATAATAAATAAACATAAATAAAAATGGCAAAAGCTCACAACAAAATTACCAAAACATTAAAGGGGTCATATGATCTGAAACGCGTCGATTTTTACAAAGCTCATCGGTCTGAAAAAGATCTACAAATCTTCCCACATAGTGACGTAGACATGTGTTGGCGTGTTATGGATGTGGCGCGGCACGACACGACAAATCCCCGACAGAAAGCTGCGTTCTATTCATGACGTATTGACACAAATTTCAAATGATTTTCAACGCTCGCTTTGTCGCGTCCAGTGTACTAGACAGATTTTAGCTGTTGCGGCGCAGACACGGTGTTACTCACCTATCGAGAAGAAACAAAGCAACCTCGGCGTCCGATCGCAGGCCTTCCGCTCCTTGAGTTCTCTCCAGCGCTGGAAAACTGATCCGATATTTACACGGGTCCTAATTCTTGCCTAATTGCCTTCTTTTGTTCCGCAGACGTTTTCCTCTTTTGTTTTTTATCCGCCATGTCTATCTTTCTGTCACTCGGCTCGGCTAATGTCCGTCCTGTGCACTGAACGCTCTCTCCTCCACATCATGAGTAGACACGCCCCTTACTGCTGATTGGCTACAAGTTTGTTTCGCTAGTCGGCCCGAATCAGTTTTCTAAAGCGTTTTTGAAAAATCACTTACCCCACCTTTAACTAAAATTACAAGGAAAACAAAATATAAAAATAAAAAACTAATTCAAAATATTAAAATCTATAATAGTATCTTAATGCCACAAAAAAAGCTGTTTCACATGTTACAGCTGGTTAAGACAAAAAATGATCATGAGTGGGAGAGTTGTTTATATTAATAACTCTGTCTGATATCTTTCAGCTTCAGAGGAGAAGGACGGCGTTCAGTTTCTGGAGCCGCAGAAGCGAGACTGTCACATCACGTTTGGCAGACAGACGTCTCAGCAGAGCAGTGCTGACGCAGCACGACCCCGCTGCCCCATCTACATCTACAACTGCTCACTGGACTCCCTCAAAGAGCAGCTGGTCCATCCGCGCTCAGGACGCCAGCCCAGAGACGTCTTCTTCAGGTACTGAGACACTCTCCCACATGCAGATGAAAGCTACGGTGTGTAGCATGAAGGTCTCAGGACATCAGCTCTGTTCCAAACCCTAGAGAGCGGCCTACTGCATACATAGACAGCTACATTCTTAGGCAGCATCTAACTGATGAAGGACCTTATAAGTAACAGTATTTTAGTATCATTGATATACTATTATAGTTTTTGTTCATATTTTGAATTTTATTTATTTATATTACTTTAATTTTTTTCTGATTTCTATTTTCTGTTTTTTTGTTTTGTTTCCACTATAATTTTAGTTAAAGTTTTAGTAATTTTGTGTTTGCCGTTTTTATACATTTTCTTTTCTTTCTTTTTTGTAAATATATATATATCTATTAAGTTTTTAATAATCTTTATTTATTAGATTTACTTTATTTAGTTTAGTTATTTTGGTACTTCGAGTTAAACTTTGAAGTTTTAGTAATTTTGTGTTTTTGTCATATTCATTCATTTTCTTTTATTTTTCTTTCTTTTCTTTTCTTTTCTTTTTTTTATCATGTCTTTATAGTTTTTATTAATTGTTATTTATTAGTTTTACTTTTAGTTTAGTCTTTTTGGTACTTCAAGTTAAATTAAACGAAAATGAGAAAAGACGATTTATATTTTTGTTTTTTATAATTTTATATATTTAATATTATTTATATTGTTGTTTCCACTTTAATTTTAGTTAAAGTTTTTGTAATTTCGCGTTTTTGTCATTTTTATTTATTAGTTTTACTTTAGTTGTTTTGATGCTTCAAGTTTAACTAAATGAAAATGACAAATGTAGATATATGATAACTGAAATATTTAATTTAATTTTAGTTAAAGTTTATTTCATTTCAAGTAACGGAATTTTTTTTTTTAGGGTTTTAGTTAATTAACTCTAATAACCCCCGTTATGTGACTGAATTGAAAAGCTCTTTATTACCAATAAACATAGCAATAAATGGTCTCTGGATAAAAGCATTGATAACATCCTTATGTCTAATAAAGTTGCCTCAGTAGGCGGCTCGCTGTGTTTTGGAACAGAGCTGTTGTGTTTGATCTGTGGTCGTCCTAATGTTGTACTGTCTGGTTTCTCTTTGGATGAGAATAGAGCTCAAGAGACAGACTCCTGGGAGTTCAGTCAGCAGCCCAAATACAGGTAGCCCTGCTTACTGCTTCCTGCTGCCGCCCTACAGCGGGACGGGGCGGGATGGGAGGGGTGTGAGGGGGCCGCTTTGGCCCCGTCACCTTAAGGATGACCCTTCTTTCTTTCTCTTTCTCTGGAGGGTTTTGCTGTTCTACGGATGTGACTGTAATGAGGGGATATTAGGCCGCTGAAGACTTATAAGGATATGAGGGCTTAAGATAACAGAATGAAGACAAGTTTATCTCTGTATATGCATTACCATTCAAAGTTCGGGGTTAGTAATTTTTTTTTAAACAATTGAATAGTTTTATTTAGCAAGGACGCATTAATTGATCAAAAGTGACAGTAAAGACATTTATAATGTTATAAAAGATTTTATTTCAAATAAATGCTGTTCTTTAACTTCTTATTCATCAAATAGTCCTGAAAAAAATTATGAAGCAGCACAACTGTTTTCAACATTGATAATAATCAGTGACACTGAAGCCTGGAGTAATGATGCTGGAAATACAGCTTTGATCACAGGAATAAATTACATTTTAACATGCATTCAAATAGAAAACTTATTACTTATAAACTTATTATTTTAAATTGTAATAATGTTTCACAATATTATAGATTTTTCTGTATTTTAATGCAGCCTTGGTGAGCAGAAGAGACTTCTTTCAGAAACATTAAAATATCTTACCAACCCCAAACTTTTCAACATTAGTTTGTATATTGTTGTTGATTGGGGTGCACAGTGATCTGGATTGTTCTATATTATATTACCTATTGTGTTTTAAGACCTCATATCCTGCTGAGGGTTGTTTTCTCTGCCTTCTGGTGTTCAGTACCTGTCAAAAGTTTGGACAAAAAGTTTATGATGAATGTCTAGAGTCAGCAGAGCTGGAATCTACACAAAGAAGAAGGTCCAATTCAAAGGAGGTTTATTTTATTTTATTCATCTTACTTTACTTTTTATTTATTTTTTATTTTTTTTGCATTCCCATGCCTCCATATATGTTATATTTCATTATGAGTTCCTACCGAGTTGAAAAGAGTCATAATGAAGCATGAGTAGATGTGTCCAAACGTTTGACTGATAGTGTACTGTACATACTTAAATTAAAGAGGTTCGCTCCCTGCATGTAGACATTTAGGACATCTCAAGACATTCAAAATTAGGCTAAATGACTGTAATGTATAACTTATGTCCTCTTTATTCTTGATGTATTTGAGGGATTAGTATTTGTTCTCAGTCTTTGTCGATCTGGTATATTCTGCTGATAAACGTCTGTCTCGGTGGCAATGTCTGAGTACTCAGTGCTCATCTGAGCAACCCAAGTCTTAGGCTGCATATTATATTGGTGTCCTCAACGTCTTGATTTTTTCTACTTCGCTTTCCCTTTAAATGTATTTTTCCTGCTTTGTTGACCACAGAAATGGTAAACCTATGCCGTATAAATCTTGTGTGTTGTTGCTTCATGGCTGTAAATCTGTTTTGCATGCTTTTAAAGCTGGTTTGATATTTTCCTGTCCACTTCAGCAGCAAACACGACTAGTATTTATGTTTGATGATCTGCTGGACTGTAGATAAATGAAATCCTATTGCGCTGTGCTATTGTGCTGCTTAATATAAAGTATTACACTGATGTTTTGGCCACGGATATTTAAAATCAAGACTGTCAGCAACGAGCCATTAAGTACTGATATTTTTAAATAATTAATTAAACATGTTTATTGCACTTTCTAGAGTCTATAATCACCTTTTTTGTTGCACGTAATATAGTCAATAAAGACCCAAATTAATAAAATCTGAAAAACAGAAAGCATACATTTGCTTCTTGTACAAATGTCGGACAGATATGGTTGTTGCATGTTGTCTCTCTGTTTTCTAACACTATTGCATTTTCATAAAGGTGTCTTTTTTTTTTTCAGAAATTGCAAATAAATTGGCTTATTTATTAATTATAAATATTCATTTATTTATTTAACGTAATGAGTGTTATGTAAATTAGGTCTGACTCAGTGTTACTACAATAATATCATTTTTTTGTACATATTTATAGGGCTGTAATTCAGCTGCATTTGAATATAAATGCATCAGCTAAAATCAAAATGCTGATCTGATGACAAAGTTTAAATACGTCACAGAAAGAGCAGAGTTTTTCTCTATAATAGACATATGGATAAATGTTTGACTTTGGTATCTTGGGTATTGCTTTTTCTGCTGCTTGCCTCTGCTATTTTAGGCTGCTGTCTGGTGTAGTGTTGTAGGAAATGTCTGGCAGATTGTGGCATGCTGTTATCTGGTGTGTGTGTGTGTGTGTGTGTGTGTGTGTCTCTGGGCAGGTCAATCTCTCAGGAGCGCAGCAGCGCCTCCTCCTGGACGGAGCTCATGACGCACCCTCACAAACACAAAGAACTGGCCAACTACTGCAGCCTGCTTCAGGAGCACTACTACCAGAGCTATGTCAAAGGTCACACGCCAACATATGCATATATATGCATAAAGCTTAAATAAACACAAATATAAATAAATAAGCATAAAAATATTTAAGCACATTTATCTTCGTATAATGCAAAAAAAAAAAAAATCTCATTACTGTATTGAGACAAGACATTTGTAATTACATTTATGGTAACATTTTACAATAATAAATGTACAATTTGTTAACTATATTTAATTCTTTAACTAACATTAACTAACAATGAGCAATACATTTGTTACAGTATTTATTAATCTTTGTTAATGTAAAAATACAACTGTTTATTGTTAGTCCATGTTAGCACAGGTCTGTTAAATAACATACAACTTTTGATTTTAGTAATGTATTAGTAAATGCTGGAATCAACATTAACTACGATTAATAAATGCTTTAAAGTATTTTTTTATTGTTAGATTACATTAACTAATGTAGTTAACGAATGTTAACAAATGGAACCTTATTGTAAAATGTTACCACGTGTATTTTATTATTTTAGAATAAAAATATAAATAAATAACAAAAAATAAATATTTTTTAAGCATTTAAGCACATGTAGGTCCCGCATTCTCTTTAGTGTAGAGTCCATACATTTTTAAATTACATTTATTTATTTTATTATTAATTCGAAATAAATATGTAAAAAAAAAAAAAAAAGAAAGCATTTAAGCACATTTATGTCCCGAATTCTCATTATTAGTAATGCAAAAAAAGAAACAAAAATCTAATTCTCATTATTGCTTTGAATCTGGAAATTTTTCGATTAAATTGATTATTATTTTAAAATAAAGTGTTTTTATTTTATTATTTCATTAGGTTTTTTATGTAGTTCACGTTGTTCTCAATGGTTATTCATTAGTGTCTCATTACTGAGATTATTAATGGGAATCACCCTGTCCCGATACTTGATTTTTTTCATGTTTGTCTAAATAAAAGGTATTTAATTAATTAATTAATTGATTAATTAATGTATTTGATTTTAAATATTTACTATCTCTGCGGATCTACAATAAAAAACAAATAAACATTAGTTTGATATAAATACTTGCGAATATACATAATGCATTTCATTAATATGAATTGGGGCAGAAAATGTGTTCATAAAAATAATATCACCATAAAAATATGCAAAATTATGTTAGAGTCATTTTCACAGCAGATGATTTAATTGGTCTTGTGCCTGTGTTGATTGACAGGTGTTTATCGCAGTCTGCAGCAGTCGCACAACGTGAGCTCGCAGGACCTACTGACGGCTATGGACTACTGCGAGGAGTCGCTGCAGGAGATCGACATCACTTCCTTCCTGCAGACGCTCTGCGGACACGTGCGTGTGTTTCGTGAGCGTCACGAGCTTCACGGCTCTGTCAACGTAAGCAAGTCCAGGAACGCTCCCACAACCTTCATCATCGGAGAGGAAGAGGATGATGGAGCTGACAGAGCCACGCTGGTGTCTTCATCCAGGTACTGACCACAGAGCAATGCATTGTGGGAATTAATGCTTTGTTTTCATTGTATTCATCTATTATTATGTATTTTTCTCAAAGTATTGAACTGGAGGATGTGAGTGAAGGCGATTCCAGAGGGAAAGTCTCTGCTCCCACATCCCCACTGGACCTGGATGAGCCGAAGTCTCCAAAAATCCCAGAATTCCCTCTGTCTCTCCTCCAGTCCCAGCAGAAATGTGAAGTGTATCCTGATTTACACAAAATCATACAGGTATAGCTGACACCTGGCATCAGGGATGTAGAAATGGCATTTTTAAAGGGGTCATCCGATGCCCATTTTCCACAAGTTGATATGATTCTTTAGGGTCTTAATGAAAAGTCTGTAACATAGTTTGGTTAAAATTTCTCAATGGTAGTGTAAAACAACACCCTGTCAAAAACAGCTCTGTTCATAGCAAGCCGTTTCCTTGCATGTCGCTTTAAATGCAAATGAGCTCTGCTGACCCCGCCCCTCTCTTCCGAGCCACTCTCTGAGAGACGGTAAACTTTAGCCGCATTCATCGTGAAACTTGCTAACTAGCACATTACTAGGAAAGGCGATTTGCATAGATTCATTAAAAAACTTTATACTCACTTCTTCTGTAGGTAAAGCTGGATCACGAATGATTCACGCGAACATAGATGCATTTATGTAGATCAGGGGCGCATTCCCTTCAGAAACAAACGTAATCCACTGCGTCTTCAGCGGCTCAGATGTCGGGAGTAAATGACGACTGCTGTGTTCATTATTACATCCAACAACAAAACACCTCAATCGCCAAGAATCGTCATTCTGCCAAGAATCTGAGAACAGCTTGATATGAGAAAGGAGATTTAAAAAAAAAAAACACTGGGTGAATTTTTATCATTATATGGCGGTTGTGTACACACTGCCAAAACACATTTTAGTTCAAACAACATGTAAAAGTGAATTTTGCATCCGATGACCCCTTTAAAACACAACTGTTGCAGATATGAATATTACACATTGTTTGTTTTACAGGATAAGTTCATGGAAATTGGTGCTCAGTATTTCAAGACGGTACCGTCCAATCCACATTATTTCTTTTACTGCCTTCCATCTTCCAAAAAAGAGGTGCGTTAACATTTAGCTAACATTTTAGTATTCTGTTTTTTTTGAATGTGCATTTTAGCAGCATTAATGTGCTCCAGTGTTTGCTGAATCTGCAGCATCACAGCAACATCAGGGGCCTGTTTCCTAAAACAAGTTAACCAAATAAGCCAGGTTTATTTCAGTTAGTCTAACTTATTGTCAGCCGATTTGGTTCAAAATAAGTCAGACTAACTGAAATAAGCCTGGCTTATTTGGTTAACTTGTTTTAGGAAACAGGCCCCAGGTCATTATGTTAAGAGTTTGCAGTCTAGTTAATTATTTTAAATTCACATTAAATAGTCTTTTTGCAATAGTCATTTTTGCTTATTTATTGATTTGTTTCATTTTTATAAATATAAATATTATTATTATTATTATTTTTATAATTGTATAGTGATATTGAATAGATTTTTTCCTTCTTCGTCCTTATCTGATTTTGCCTGTTACTAAATTAACACCTTACTGTCTGGAAGTTTATATGACAGTATGTACTAAAAGATATACATTCACAGAAGAGTTTGTTTTAATACATTGTATTTTCATTTGAAAGATGCACACATTACAAAAAAATATATATACAGTGGGTACGGAAAGTATTCAGACCCCCTTCAATTTTTCACTCTTTGTTATATTGCAGCCATTTGCTAA